CCTGCTTCTCCGTCCCCGCGGGGGCACCGAGCGGAACCCCGGGCTTCCGACTCTGGTTCTGGTTCCGAAACCCGTCGACCGCGGACAGCGGGTTCATTTCCGGAGGCCGAGGCGCTCTGGCGGGGGACTCGGGCACACTTCCGTTGGAAACTCCTTTCTGAAATGCCAGAATCTTTTGCTCCAGGGTAGCGAACTGCAACATTCGACAGGGATCGTATTTCAGCAAAAACCCTTGAAGAGTATCCCAGCCGCCACCGACGCGGACCATGACGTGCTTCCCGTGGAGCATCTGTCCGCCGGAGGAGGAGGAGGAAGGAAAGAAAAGATCAGTAAGGCGAGGGGCGGACGACGAGGGCGGACGACGAGGGCGGACGGCTCCAAGTCACGCGTGGTCACCGCGGTGACGACTGTGACCGGCGAGACAGCGACGCCAACACCTCTGACAGTGAGCGTCCTGCATTCGTGTGCTTAGTGAGAACTCACTTATGCAACTTAGCACAGAAGTCCTCCAGTCCGTAAGGAAAATATTCCCGTGCGAAAAACCCGGTCGGTAATAGAACCGCAGGAGGTACGTCCACCAGTGAGGCGGTGACTATGGCAGGAAGGAAAGAGAAGAAAAGCGGGCAGAGGGGAAGAAAAGGGGACGGGCCTCACACGCAAAGAAAAAGAGTCGTGGGAGAGGCTAAAAACAGCGAAGCTGAGTCATGCTTTGCAACTTACTGCGTTATTTTCACGTGCATGCTAACAATTTAGTCTTTAAAGTACTCTGATGGACTTTATCGAATCCCTCCTTACAGAGTGGGAGTTGGGCTCTGAGGGCGGTAGGAGCTGGGACCCGGCCTCGATCCACCTGTGTGGCCCCTGTGTGGTGCAAGGTGTTTCTGTTTTGTTTTCTTCCTTTGGACATTTACACTTATCAGATGTTTTATTTTGTTTGTCTTCTTATGGTGATGAGGAAAAATTATCCCCTTCTAGAAAATTTTAAAAATGAAGCTCCCTGAGGTGTGCAAAGACTGCTTCCCCGGTGAGATTGTCGGAATCGTCTCAGCTATTTTCAAGTTAGTTACTCACTGTTACAATACTCACGAAGCCCGCTGTATACTCTGAAACCAAGCGAAATTCTTCCAGAAGAGCACCTCCCTTCCCATTTTTAGAAAAAGGGGAGCAAAAGGAAGTACATAAAGCAATAGCACCAGTCCCAACAGCTCCATCGCAGGAGACCGGTGTGCCTACCGCCTACCGGCTACCAGCTAACATCCGTGCACTCACCCTGATGAAGAGTATTTTATCCCCGAGTCGGTACCGCCCTTCTGACAAGTACTCAATAGAAAATCGATGAGAACAACTACAGGGAGGGTCTTCGGCAATATGTGTAACCTAAGATTAAAAAGAAATGACCAAATTTGGTGCTCGTTACAGAAAAAAATTTTTTGTTTAAAGTTAAAATGTGATGTTGATAGTGAGGAAAAATAAATCTCAAAGATAGAGACTCAAAGGCCGTCCAGTTTTAGAGAGCCCTTCTCTCTCACCTTGAGATAAGACCTGTAACCCAGCACCAACCCGGCCTCCCTGGGCGGCCCAGCGCCCACTGCGCGCTCATGCCCACTGCCCATGGGAAAGGCGAATGCAGCAAACAGGTCACTCATTGTTATGTTTGACTTGTTCGAAGCCCTAAGTTAATAATCGTGGTGTCAAGGCAAAGACTGACCCGTCAGGTCAAGCCTAGGACATTTCCCTTCACTAACATCGTGGTGGTGGTAGTGGTGGCGGCTCTCTACATTTGTTAAAAGTTATTGTTAAAATAGGCAGAGACGCATTCATACACGTTCACTCGTGCCTTCATACTCACACTGACTAGGTTAAAACATTATTTTAAGATTTCAACTTGAAAAGCATGTTGCTACGTATTTGCTCTCTTTCCATAGTCTGCTAAGGAGATGGGGATCAGGAGAAATCCTACTCTATCCCTCAGGAATTTTTTTCAATTAAAAAAGAACAACAAATACATGCTAGGACTATAGTAAACAAAAGATGAATTTGACAATTCTATATTTTAACATAAAAATCATAATAAAGTGATAAAATGAATATATTTTTTGAAATGTCATTGTCTGAAAAATTCACGTATCAGCCACTATAGAAACTATTTGACTTTTCCCTAAAATTATTATTTTTGAAAAAGCAAGATCATAAATATTTTTCTCTACTGTCACACAGAGTAAATCTAAACAAAATTATTTAATTAAACTTAGACATGTGGGCGGTCTCTTCAAATACAGCCAATTTAGCTGAACACAGAGAAATTTATTTGATTGCCTTAATTATCTTCCCAAAATAAATGGACAATTGTGGGTTCGGCAGGACCTGATGAGAAGGGTCTATAATTTATTTCCCTGTATTGTTCATTTAACAAGACAATGTACTTATAAACAAATAGGACTGATTTTGTATAATAAAGTTCCTCCTGTTCATAGCCTGCATATGCATGCACATACTTTCACACAAACACACACACACTTTACACATCAAGTGGTTTAAAAACAAAAATCAGGCAGAGGTAAGGGGAAAAATGAGAATCAAGACTTGTCATGTAGAGGTACAAGATCCCAACAATGAATGTAACTGTAATGTATCCCTAAAATGTACCAAAAAACTCTATAAAATTAAAAAAAAAAAAAATAAATAAATAAAAATAAAAACAAAAATCAGGTAGAGATTACACTCATTGAGTGATGTTTATACACAGGCTAACTAAGGTAATGTGAAAGTAGACATTCCTTTTAGTCACTACTTTCTGTCTGTAAAATCTCTGAAGTATACAGAACTTCAGGTGTATACATCTTAATAAGACCCTAAAAGATGAATTAGATAATTGTTCTGAATATGAATCATGACACCAAGAAAACGGTAAATTGTGGATTTCAACATGACATGGACATTGAATATAACCATACAGTACGTGCATGTTTAAAGAAATGTTTTCATTTTTAGTTTTCATAACAAGAATGCAAATCTGAGAAGTCACTATTTTCCTACTTAAAATATCCAAATAACCACTTATACAGAACAGTATAATCAACACTGGCCCACAACCTAAACAACAGTGAGCCTAAGTGAAGTAAGAGCTCTGGATAAGAAATGTTCTCTTCTGGTTTTATTTATTGCATAGTCAATAATGTAACATTAGAAGGAACAGCTAAAGAGATTAAAATCAATTATAATGGTATTACATAACTACCTACCATTTTCATTCTCCTTGTTTCCATACAGTTTGTTTATATATGCATATTTTTCACAAAATAAGCATTTTCCTTAGTGCTACATAGTTGCCATAATGATCACAGAAAGTAATTATTCTGTTAAGATACTGAACCCTAATTTACCAACCACAGCTCTATTGGGGGGGGTATCTTGCTTATGATTTTTCATCAATAAAAATAATACAGCAATAGACACATTTATTTGTTACTTTTTCACATTTTCAATCATAAAAAAAAATGAAAAAAATATTTGAGTGCTCTCATTACCTCATTTACCTTTGTTAAGTACATTTTCCCCAGAATCTAACAGCCCTAAGTTTTCTAATTTTTAAGTGGCTGACAGGCCAGATGGTTTTCATCATTTCCTTAGTTAGCAGTGAGTTTCAACATTGTACTTTCTTCTTGTGTGAATGCAATCCTTGTTCATTTGCTTACCAAAAATGTTTTTATTATCAAATTTTGTATCATCTTTATATAATGGGGAAATAATAGATTGTATTTTCCATTTAATACAAATATTTTCCAGATAGTCTTTTATTTAATCATCATTCTTTAAGCTTATTTAAAATTTTAAATAAAATTTATTTTTTATCTACTAATTATTTCTGCTTCCAATATTGACATTTCCAGATGCCAAATGTATTTAGAAGATAAGGTAAATATATTTTGGTCTGATAAAGGATTGTTCGGGCTGACATATTCTTAATCTGTCTTGCAAGTTTATCTGAATGTTTTATTACAGACTTTTATTACATTCAACAAAGCAAAGCAGCACTTTCTAAAGGTTTATTAGTAACGGTTTATTCTGGGGGAAAAATGAAGGCAATCAGTGGATTCTCATGCCTGGAATATGCCTCACGCTGGGCGGCAGCCTGTCCATCCACCATTGCTCTGTTATCCTCTGTTCCCCTTCATGTACAAGCAATGACAAATTGCCTCTAACTGCCTTACCCTCCATGCTACACAATCTGAATAAGTGACCTTTTCTTCTAAACACAGCACCAGGTATAGAAATGTAGCCGCGTAGAAATCTATGAGAGTTCAGGTAGTCAGAAGAAAGCGCGCCCAGTACTCACAGCCTCGTGCAGCTCTTCATGCTGGCAGCAGGATTTCGGAATGCTGATGGACTCTTCAGGCCCGGAAGTGTTGAGCAAAGTCTCTTCTAACTCAATTTCTTTCTCAAGTTTTACTAATACTGGTGGCTCAACCCCATATCTGAAAACAAAACAGGAAACCTGATCACTTAGGGCAACCAAGACGCATGGAATTTTATCTTTAGAGCAAAGCCTGTGTGATCTCTTCTCCTAATTTCACTGGACATCTGGAAATGCTTCCTAATGCCTCGCAGATGGGCAAAAACACAGATCATAACCTTCCCATGGAAGCACAAGTTTGGCTTACTGGGTGCTCCCAGTATTCTGCATGGGGTGCTGAAAGGCAGCTCTGAAATCAGCAGATGATTGAAGCAAGTATGGGGGACACCAAGCTTCTGCTCTCTCCTCAGTGTCGGGGTTCCAAAGACTCTAGACCCTGAGCTCCTTGAAGACTATTTGCTTTTATTCTCTTCTTACTCTGAAGTTTTTAAGTAACCAATTTATAATTTAATTACTAAATGCAAGCAAGGTATATGGAGGAAACATCGATACTGCTCCTGCTAGAAGAACAAAGAAAACAAAGCCAAAACAAATTGGGTTACTTTGTTTCAACCGAGAATCATTATGTTTTTAGAAAGTAGTATTCTAAACTACAAGTAAGAAGCTCAACATGTTTCTGACTTTGAAATTCTGAAATATTGTAGAATACATACCTTGACACAATGCGACCAATTTCAAGAAGACAAAGATACACTTGTCTTGGATCCTTGTGTAAAACTGCAGAAAATAAGATAACATGTTTTAGGGAGCAAAATTAAATAAGGAAATAGATTTCTGGCATGTAAGAGAGTAAAAGAAAATAATGAAGACAGCAGGCTCACTTGTTTGGAGAAGACTTGGAAAAGGCCTTTATATTTCCCTTGTATATTGTTATCTTCTATAAACTACTTTAAGAAGAACTAGCTAGGGCTGGGGGTTTAGCTCAGTGGTTCCATCGCCTGCCTCACAAGTGCAAGGACCCAACTTCAATCCTCCGTATTAAAAAAAAAAAGAACGGGCTAGCAAGAAGATAAATATCCACCATAGCCCTCTATTTTTGATAACAGAGGTTAAAAAATTAAAAGTGTAGTAACATTAAATTATTTATATTTGGGATCTCTGAATAGGAGATACTATTATTTGTATTATCTTTATATAATGGGGAAATAATACATTGCATATTATTTCAATTTTTTTTTAAACAAGGCCTCATTATGTAGTTCAGGCTGGTCTTGTATTTACTGTGCAGCCCAGGCTGGCCTTGAACTCACGTGACTCTCCTGCCTCAACCTCCCAAGTGCTGAGAATACAGCCTGTACCACCATGCCCAATTTCCACTTCAATTTTATTCTAGACTATTCTTGACTATGTGCTACTTTGTCTCTCAAACTTTACAAAAACAGTAGAAGAGAGGACACTTTCTAACTGATTCTATGATGGCAGAATTTTCCTGATGCCAAAGCCAGAGGTTACATGAAGACAGCATTAAAAAACTAAAAAACTATTTCTTTTGAAGAATGATACAAAAATCCTCAACAACATACTGACAAACAAAATCCAGCAACATATAAAAAGGATTAAACACCACAATGAAATGGAATTTATGCCAGGAATGCAAAGTTAGTTCAACATATGAAATCAACCAATATGTAATACACTATTAATAGAATAAAGGGGGAAAAACACACAAAAGAATTTGACAAAATCCAAAATCCTTTCATGAATTAAAAAAATAAAAAAGACTCCACAAGCTAGAAATAGAAGAAAACTTTCTCAATCAGATAAAAGGCATCTATGAGAAATCCATAGTCAGTATCATTCTTAAAGGGAAAATACTGAAAATCTTTGCCCCAAGATGAGGAAAAGACAGGACATCCATTCTTATCACTTCTTTTTAGCATTGTGCTGGAGCTGGTTCTAGCTACAGTATCTAGGCAAGGAAAATAAAAAGCATCCAGATTGGAAAGGAAGAAGGAAAACTACTTCTATTCACAGATGACATACTGCTATGTATAGAAAATCTTAAACCATCTACAAAGAAACAAGTTCAACAAAATTAGTTATATATACTAAAAAATAAAAATAAAATTAAGACAATATCCTACTTGAAACAGCTTCAAAAAGAATAAAGTATTTAAAATTTTTAAATAAAAATGCAATACTTTTATATCAAAACTACAAAACATTATTGAAAGATATTAAAGAAAAAAATGAACAGAAGAACCACCCATGTTCATGGATTAGAAGACAAAATCATTAAGATGAAAACATTCCCCAAATTGACCTAGAGATTCGATTCAATCCCTATCAAATTCCAGCAGCCCTTTTTTTTTTTCCAGAAATGCACAAGCCAATGATTAAATTAATATAGAATTACAAGGGGCACAAAATAGTAAAATCAATACTGAAAAAGAAAACAAGGTTGGGAGGCTTGCACTTCCCAATTTCAAAACTGAATATGAGAGACAAAAATCAAGACAGTGCATTTACTCCTGGCATGAGAACAGACATATGTAGGGGATAATCGGGTGGAATTGAGCATTTGGAAATAAACCTAGACTTGAAATGAATCAATTACTTTCAACACAGATGCCAAGATAATTCAGTGGGAGAAGAACAGTCTTTTCAAAAATGGCACTGGGACAACCGGATGCCTACATGCAAAATATGAATTTGAACCCTTATTTCACACCATATATAAAAATTAACTAAAAATGGGTTAAAGATCTAAATGTTAAGAGCTAAAACTATAAAACTTTAGAAAAGGAAACATAGGTAAAACTTTCCCGACTTTGATTAGACAGTGGTTTTCAGATATGACACTAGAAAAACAAGCAAAATACAAAAAAACAAAAACAAAACAAACAAGCAAAAAAATATATATACATACATATTTTCAAAATTTGAAACTTTTGTATCCCGAAGTATAGTATCAAAAAGGTAAAAAAACACAGACTGGGGAAAATTTACAAATCATACCTAATAAGGGCCAGGTGCCTAAAATATACAAAGTCTTACTTGCCAACAAAAAAGATAAATGACCCAATTAAAAGAGGGAAAAAAAATGAGACCTTGAAGAGGCACCTCCAAAGCAGATACATAAACGGTAGCTGAGCAAATGGAACGGCGCTGGATGTCATTAGGGAACCGCAAACCAAGAGCACGGCCAGTGCCACTCATTTCCCGCGTGATGGTCACAAAGACGACAGGCACAGGAAAACTGACAAGAACTAGTGCGGTGGGCATGTGGAGAAGCTGCCACACTTGTGCCTTGCTGGTGGGGATGAAAGCAATGGTGCAGCCACTGTGAAACACTTTGATGTTTCCTCAAAAAGATAAACATCGAATTACCACATGACCCAGCAATTCCACTCCTAGGTTTGTACCTGAGAGAATTCAAAACATACATTCATTCAAAAACTTGTACACAAATGTTTACAGCAGCAGTAACACATAATAGCCAAAAAAGTGAAACCCATCTAAATGGCCATCAGCTGATGAATGGATATATTTTTAAGATGCAGTGTTAGCGACACACTGGAATAGTATTCAGTCGTAAAAAATGAAATATGATTACCATACAAATGAATGAACCATCATGCTAAGTGATAGGATCCAGGCACAAAATGTCACTTATAGAACCATTCTACTTATAAAACATCTACAACATGCAAACCTACGGAAAGTGGATTAGTGTTTCCCAGGGCGTGTGGGAGAAAATAACTGGGACTAATTGGTTGTAGGTATGGGTTTTCTTTTGGGGTGACAGAGATATTCTGGAATTGGATTAGAGGTGATCCTACAAATAGTGAATATACCAACAAACCTCAACTGTCAATTTTTAAATTGCAATTTTAGGTTACGTGAAGCATACACTAAGGTGCCCAAAAATGCTATTTTAAGAAGAAACCTAATACACTTAACGTGATTAAAATGGTAAGTTTTGTTAAGTGTATTTTAAAACAATTTTTAAAACTAAAATTAATTCTACAAGAAATCATACAAGAGAGATTCTAGGTTAAGTAAAAAAGAAAATGGGCCTGGAGGTGGAACTAAGGCGAACTGTACCATCAGATTTGTGAAACGTGTACCGTCACGCCTGGTGCCAGGATAAACTCCGAATGCCGACCTAATTATGTGCGGTGTGTTACGGGTGGCAGGTACACTGGCTCCCCCAGTAGAGATGGCACCTGTTCTTTGACTCACGAATAGCCTTTACTGTATACCCAAAGTATAAAATATTATCTTCTAAAGCAATAAAAAGGCCAGTGTGTGAGTTCAGTTCATACGAAGACATAAATGTATCCTGACAGTTTTGAACCTGCTTTTCTAAACACTTAAAATAAGCACCTTAAAATGGTATGTCTGTTTCTTAAAAGTGCTTCAAGTGTCTGGCAAAAGGTAAATAAATAAATCAGAGGCTCATCTCTGAGACCTTTACAGAGTACAAACATTAGCTCATCCGCTCAAGGCCTAGAAGTGACTCATGGATATTGATAGTGCTTTATTTAGTCTCACGCTGACCTTCAGGACAGGTGGAAGATGGCACTTACTGACAATAGAAATAAATGGCAATCTTACATCCTTTCAAAAAGAGTAAGCGGGGAACTGGAGGAGTCAAAGCGTTCCGTCCTCCCTCTGATCCCTAGAAGCCGGGGGTGCCATTGTCAGTAAGGAGCAGGAGTGCTGGGTTCAAAGCCGCTGCAACCTGAGGGGTCGAAGGGCAACCCCTGGTCTTCGCTCCGTACTGGACAGGAGCATCCGGGAGCAAAGCAAATGGGTAGCAGCTTATCCTGAGCACAGGCAGGAAGGGTATGCACGGTCACGGTGGGCAGAGAATTTCACAACTATAATGAAACCAACCGAAGGTCGCTTTGCTTGTTATCATCATTGCAAAGCGGCAATTGTAAACGATGTCAGTGGTAAAACCTCCCCGCCAGGGCAGACTCCCACAATCCTTTGAAATGCTCCTGCTCCAGTCACACATCACAAATTCCGTGTGTGTGTGTGTGTGTGTGTGTGTGTGTGTGTGTGTGTGTGTAGACACAAGTATATATGTATTTATACACATCCATGGGTTGAAATATATACGTCCAGTCTAAAACCATCAGCCAGCTATCACTTTAGTCATGACACAGGTGCCTTTGTTGACTTCAAGGAAATAAGAAAATATGTCCATAATTCTTCAGGACAGCAATGACTTTTCAAAAACATTAATCCATTAAGATGATCAGGTCGGCAGCTGTTGTTTACAAGGTAAATCTAAACACTAAATACCCTTGATTTGGCCTTGTCTTTTCTGTACTTATCTGGTTAAAGAGATATTACTAGTAATTTAGACTTGGTAGAGTAAGTCTTGATGAAAACACTAATTAGTAAAGTATTAGTCCAGAACCTTCACGCAGCCAACCCATTTGGCAAGTCAAATATTTTTAGGGCATTCTGGATACATAAAGTCTTTATAAATGAGAAACTTAATATATTCCGTTTAATATCTTATCTTCAGCTGTTTCACATATAATTAAAGTACACATTTTTCTGAGAAACTGAGATGTGGCATCTTGCATCGTTATTTGAAGAGAAATATTAGAAGGAAAGTATAACAAAAATATCCTAATAATACAAAAAACAATGACAGCACCAGTGCTCACCTAAGCCTTCAGATTCAAAGAGGTACGTCTCGTCGACCCCAAGGCTCCTGCACCAGTGCAGGAAGTTTGCAGTGTTGTCTCTGGCAAAGAATGAGCCCGATGTGGCATCCTTCTTACAAGGCACTTTTCTCAGTAGAAAATTCTGGAAAATACAAGGATAAAGCTTTAAAATACATCAAGGGTACTTTTATTAGATATTCATTTTAGTATTACAAAGTAAATTCTTACCACATTGAATGTAACTAAAAAATACACAACTTTAGGGAAAAACAGGTATCCAAGGAAAAGCAATCTATTAAAATTAGCAATAGGATCTTAGTTCCAGAATCTCCTGCTTTTAAAAATCACGTAGGAATCTTAGTAAGATTAAACACGACAATCCAAAGCACATCATGTTGGTATGTCTCTCCAAACATAATTCAATACAAACAAAATTAGTGTCATAGTCACACTTACCAGGCACCCTCCTTTCTGCATACTTCCTTACGTACAGATTCATACAGACACTTCTGATTTCTTGAGGAAATCATCAAGTGAGGAAGTAGTTAACTATTCTTTTTTTTTTTTTTTTTTTTTTTTTTTTTTTTTTTTTTGTGGTAACCAGGGATCAAACTCCAGACCTTAAGCTTATGAAGCCAGTGGCGGAACCACTGAGCTAAATGCCCAGTAGTTAGCCATTCTTAATTCTTTGAAACTTAATGGCTTAAGTTCCATAGAATCTTTTTAAAAAAAAAAAAAAACAACGATTTGGCCTGGTGGCATTTAGATAATCCTACTGAATCTCAGATGGGAGCATGAATTGTTTAAAATTGTTGCTTGAAAATGCAACCCATGAATATGATTTTTTAAAGGTATAATAACAAGTCTTTTCCACCTCTACCCCTTGCTTCCTCTCTCCTGAGAAAGCCACTATTACCAGTTCCTCAAATGTGCTTCCTGTTGCTATTATTTTCTAGAATTAAAATAGCCTGTGAGGTTTTTGAATTGAATACAGAATACATCATCATTACCAAAAAGTTAAACAATATAGAAAAATAAAAACATGAGTAAGTAGTATCACCTGGAACCTTTTCAGCTACATTTTATGACCTGTCTCTGCACAGCTGTACACATTTGGAACATGTATGCCCATGAAGCACACAGAGACAGGCCGCGCTGCGGTGATTTGTCTGTGTATGTGCACGAGTACGCTTAACGAGTGGGTCTAGGCATCTTTTAGGGTTAAAAATAACAGGTTTAAAGCATCATTTCTAATGACCGTATAATATCCCAATGTTGTGTAGGTACCATAATGAATTTTTTAAAACTTCTCTATTGGTGAACATTAAGTTGTTCCTCTTTTTTTGCTATCATATTTTCAAATTTGTGATTTCCTTAAATTCTCAGGAGTAGAGAATTGTGTACCCAAGAATGAATTTTGGTCTTAATATTTTCTATTTATACACACAACTGTATGCGTATGTATAGACATGTGGGTACATGGTGACAGTGAGTGTGGGTATATCTTACTGTCTGCTAGCATGATTGCACGAATAATCTGTCAGTGCCCAAGCTCCAAACACTTTGTGTGTGTGTGTGTAGTACTAGGATTAAAACTCAGGGCTCCCAAGAGTTAGACAAACACTCTACCACTGAGCTATATCTCCAATGGTTTTTACTGATTGTTAACTTTATTTTTTGATCATTGTCTCACTGATTTGCCAAGGCCGATCTTGAACTTGCAATACCCCTGACTTAGCTTCCCAAATAGCTAGGGTTACAGGTGTGCACCACCACACTCAGGAAGACCCCAAACTCTTCAAAACACTCACATCTGATGAAAAGAAAGAAATCTGGTCTATTTCAAATTATGGCTTGAGGGAAATTATCTTTTAAAATTATTATTCATTTAATTAACATTTATAGATTTACCACCAAGGCAATATATAGAAAATAATAATAATAGCAGCTGCTACTTGTGTGCCAGGAACTATCACAAGCTCTCTTCGCATCTAGCTCCTGCCAGGCTGATAAGGAAAAGTATGGCTCTTATTTTTAAGACACGGTAGCTACCAGACCTAAGATGTCGAGTGCTATACTAGGTATCATCTATACGTCACCTCATTGCATTCCAGTGAACATTCAGGAATAATTCTACAAGTAAAATAGTATTTCCATTTTACAAATAACATTATTTCGGATGCTTAGAAAGATTATATCAATTGTTCAAGGTGTTATACAGCCAGTCATGGGATAGAAGTTTACAGCTTATAGAAATGATAAGAAATACACATGAACAAATTACTCTGTATCAAAGTATATCACTGCTGTCAAATCCTTACCCCTGCTTCTTCAGAATTGCATGTTTTCACCATATTTTGAAGAACAGCAATCAGCTGACATAACAATACTCCATTGTCAAGTTCATCCAATAATTTTTCTGCTTTAATTTGAAAACCTAAAACATTATTTCAAAATTAAAATTCTACAACTGTAAATTGATAAAACAATTAAAATTTAATGAATAGAATCAAATTATACCTGAAAAACTACACAAATATCAGATGAGATTCCAAATATTCCCTCTTTGAAGGCAGAATAGTTAAAATGAATAACATTGAGTTAAGTGAAAGAAAACTAAGAGAAAAATATCTGTGAGGTAGAAATACAGAAAAAGAAATTCACATGTTTTATTTCATTGAAATGAAATAAATTCACTACATATCAATGCTTTCACACACAGGGAAAGATTCTTTATAAGAATATTTATAAGAATTTATAAGAATTCTTTATAAGAATATTCTTTAGGGCTAGAGATTTAGCTTAGTGGAACCATGTCTGTCTTGCAAGTGCCAGGTCCTGAGTACTGAAAAAAAAATGATGGATTTTCAGAGAAAGAAAGCAAATATTTTTGCAAAAATAGCAAAGTGGCGATCAGTAAGGAAATGCAGTCTCTCCAAGACCCAGAATCCAGACATTGGAAAATAATAACTTGTAGAAGAAAAAAAGAGAAACAGATTCCTGGGAATTGGGAAAGAATTGACAGGAAAAAATGAGAAGCTACAGAGAAGCTGGAAAGATGGTGACAACACAGAGAAAAGAAGAAGACTCTGGCTGGTGAGGAGGGGACCAAGCTTGCCAGTAGCAAGGCAATGGCGAGAGCTGGGAGATGCAGAGTAGACAGCAGCAGAAGTCTGCACCTTCCACACAGCAGGCAGCAGCAGGGCAGGGATTCAAGCGCAGTGCCCAGTACATCATGGGGGAGAGCTTGCCCTTTCAGGAAGGGGCTGATCATTTAAATCTGAGGCTCAGAACAACTGAAAACAACTTTACTTCAGGGCTCAGGGCTAGAAGCTGGAAAGATGGTGACAACACAGAGAAAAGAAGAAGACTGGCTGGTGAGGAGGGGACCAAGCTCGCCAGGAGCAAGGCAGTGGCGAGAGCTGGGAAATGCAGAGTAGACAGCAGCAGAAGTCTGCACCTTCCACACAGCAGGCAGCAGCGGGGCAGGGATTCAAGCGCAGTGCCCAGTACATCATAGGGGGAGAGCTTGCCCTCTCAGGAAGGGGCTGATCATTTAAATCTGAGGCTCAGAACAACTGAAAACAACTTTACTTCAGGGCTCCTACGGCTACTGTCCCACAGTGACTGGATGAAACCACCGTGGACAAGATAGATCCAGACCCTTGAAAAAGTGACGGTTGGGGGAAGGACACTGCCCCGCCCCACAGTGAGAAGCCAGGCTGCTTGGGCTGCCTGTGGGTGTGGGAGGTTTGGACGCTTGCCCTGCTTGCCCACATCAGCACAGATCTGAGGTCTGCTGCCTTCTCTACGCAGAAGCGTGAGCAAGGACACATCTCAGTGTGGATATTGCAACAGCCTAGGGAAGCAGAAGGGCCTTAGGCTAGAAAGCTAGGCAGAGAATATCAGACTTGCTGAACTCCAAAACTGCAGATCCTAGAAGGAAACCATTTATTCAAAATACAGGGGGGAAAATATATTTTTCTGTTTCTTGTTTTTCTTCTTAATTTTTTCTAGTGTTTACTCTCCACATTATTTTTCTTTTCTTTTATCTTCTATTTCTCTTTTTTCTCTTACGTTTATCTAGTTCTGTAAACATCTTCCTACTTTATAATGGAATCATTTGGCTCACTCGTCCCTCCTCCTCATATGCCATTGTTTAATTTTTCAAGTTCTTCCTTTTGCATTTTCCAATTCCCAAAACTCTATACCTTTAATATTATAACCATTAATAATAATAAAATCTCCAAGAAAGAAATTAGGGAAACAATATGTTTCTCAGTGGTATAAAGAAAAATTAAATACCTAGGAATTAACCCAATCAAAGAAGTGAAGGACCTCTATAACAAAAACCACAGTATTCTAAAAAAGGATACTGAAGTGGACATCAGGAACAAAAAAAAAAAAGTAAAAATATCCACTGTTTGGGGATAGGCAGAAGAAATGTAGTCAAAATGGCCATATTTCCAAAATTGATATGCAGATTTAATGTGATCCCAATCAAAATACCAATAGTATTCTTTACGGAACTAGAAAAAACAATTCTAAAATTCATATGGATTCAGACTGGACCTAGAGTAGCCAAACCGGTGACTCCCGGGCAACAAAAGCAGGAAGAATCATAATTTTGGATTTCAAGTTATGCTGTAAAGTTAAGTGATACACATCAGACATGTGGATCAGTGGAACATAATAAGAGTTGCAGAGATCAAGCACTTTCACAGATCTGATCTTTGGAAAGGGGACCAAAAACTTACAGTGGAGAAACGACCGCTTCTAAGAAATGGTTCTGGGAAGACTGGCTGTCTAAATGCAGAAAGAAGGCTGAGTCTAAACTCAGATCTCCCACCATGTACTAAACTAAAATAAAAATGGATCAAAGATCCAAACATAAAACAGAAACATTCAACCTGCTGGAAAAAAAAAAAAAACAAAAAAATAGGTAAAACTCTAGAAGACACAGGCACAGGCAAGGACTTACTGAACAGAGTCCTGGTTGTACAAATATAAAACAGAAACATTCAACCTGCTGGAAAAAAACAAAACAAAAAAACAGGTAAAACTCTAGAAGACACAGGCACAGGCAAGGACTTACTGAACAGAGTCCTGGTTGTACAAGATATAACGCCAAGAATCAAAAAATGGGATCTCACCAAATTAAAAAGCTTCTCCATAACAAAGGAAACAGAGAACAGAGTGAAGAGACAAGCAACTCCCTGGAAAGAGGACTAACATCTAGAATATATAAAAAAATTAGACTTCTCCTCAAAATAAAAGACCCAATCAAAAAATGAACATCTGAAAAGAATAGACACGTCTCAGAAGAAGAAATACAAATGGCCAAAAAGTGCTCCATGAAAAAAATGCTCCAACATGTCTAGAAAAAATGCAAACTAAAAAATACAAATGGCCAGAAAATGCTCCATGAAAAAAAATGCTCCAACATGTCTAGAAAAAATGCAAACTAAAACAACACCGAGATTCCATCTTACTCCAGAAAGAATGGCCATCATCCAGAAATCAGGTAACAACCAATGCTGGTGAGTCTCTGGCGAAAAGAAACCCCTCTTCATTGTTGATGGAAAGTAAACAACGGTGACCACTATGGCAATCAGTGTGGAGATTTTTTTCAGAAAATAGAACAAAAAATTCCATTTGACCTAGCTATTCCTCTCCTAGGTATCTTCCCAAAACTGAGTTTTTAAAAACATCATGTTACAGTGATGTCAAGTGTGCAACTCATAATAGCTCAGTCTCGGAAGCGGCCTGTGCGTCCATCAGCGGATGAGAGGATAACAAATGTGGTGTCACACAGTGGCGCACTGCTCTGCCTCACAGAAGGTGCACTCGAGTCATCGGTAGGGGGTGGGTGCTCCCTAAGACCATAATGTGAAGGGAAGTGAACCAGAGGCACAGCTTAAAGGTTGTGCGGTTTCTCTTATATGAGAAACTCCAAAGACAAAGAGCAAAATAATGAACATATAACAGGAAAATATCAAATTAAATAAAAGAAGACATGGAGGGAGCCAGGAGGGAGAGAAGGGGACAAAAGTGCAGCTGGGAGGGCAGGGACATAAAGAGTTCAGGTGAGTTTTCTAAACGTACCACCTCCTCAAGACGGCTGTGATCGCAGGCTGTAAACATGGACTGACAACATTTTTTTAAAAAGATATATTCCGTTGCACTTTAAAATTAATAACATAATAGCCAGAGAATAACTCTTTGCCGCTAAAATGTCTTCTTTAAAAATGTTATTACGCGGTAAACTAGAAAAGTTCTCAAAAGGGTACCAGAGAGCTAGAGTGGGTGTTTTGTGTGTGTTTGGTTATCTTGGGAGGACTGTTCTACCCCAGACCCAAAGTTCTGGTGAATCAGAGCTTCTCCCCAGCTAGGTGGAAGGTACGAGCGGTGAGAACAAAGACTTTGCATGTCTCACCCACTGGAGCGTCCCTGGCATCTGGAGCAATCACTTCTCGGACGACAGAAGAACCTGCTGAGTACAGAACTCAGCTGGGCGTCCCGCCAGCCTTACCCAGCACGCCGGAGAGCCAGATGGACAGATCCTCCTGCATAGGCAGCAGCGAGGCCTCGTGTCTCACCGCTACCCACTCGTCATACTGACAGACGTCAGCCAGTCCCGGGCCGTGTCTGGGCGTCAGAGGGTTCCGGGGGCTTAGCGGCAGGTCTTCTCCAAACCACACCTAAAGAAACAGCGATCACCGTAACCCACATCCATGTTTACGTGAAGAAAGGTCAACCACGCAATATGTGCATGTGTACAACACTGAGACAGCTCACAGAAATTACACAGGAATTAGAAACAAACTTAGTCTAGGTACTTGCTGATGCTACTGTCTTGATTCTGATTATTTCCTTGTGTTTGTGTAGGAAGATGTCCTTGTTTTTAAGAGATTCACACTAAAGTACTCCGGTGGGCATCAGATTTTGTTTTGTCTTGTTCTTTTGGACCGGGAATCGAACTCAGAACCTTGTGCTTGTGAGGCAGGCGGTGGAACCACTGAGCCAAGTCCCCGGCCCTGGCCACTCACTCTGAAGTGGTCCAAACAAAGAAATTTCTGTGCATTATATTTAACAACTCACCTGTAGGCTTGTTTAAATTTTTTTAAGTGTTTTAAAAAGAGTATAGGAAACCTAGTCCTTTGCTGGCTTTTAAATATAAAATATTTTCCCTTAAAATTTATTACACTTACTAAGGTTCATTTGAGGCAGGTCTTATTATAAAAAATCAAAAGCCAAAGCAGTAGTATTTGTAATCCAGACAAACTTTAGAGGAAAAAAATACCTACTTCCAATCTTGTATGATAAGAAATCAAGAAGAAGAAGAAGAAAGGAGGAGGAGGGAGGAAGAGGAGGAGGAGAAGTCCCAAAGCACAAGCAAGAAAATGGACACAAGAATACAAAGGAGAAAGGAAATCTAATAAACTGACCCGAAGACAAAATGAAACATGAGTTATCTGAGAAACATTATTTCAGGACTTATGGGTAGAGACTGGGAAATGAACTCCTAAATATATAAGAATTTTATAAACATCTCGAAAAAATTTAAAAAATTTTTTCAGAATTCTCTCAAACTTATTTCAAAGGGAGAATAGCCGCCGGGGATTTAGCTCAGCAGTTCGGTGGCCTGCCTGGCAAGCGCAAGGACCCGAGTTCAATCCCCGGTACCAAAAAAAGAAAGAGAGAGAGAATAGCAAAGATTTACTAATTCCTCCCTTCATAAACATTTCTTATCTCTACACGCAATCCTAGAACTCAATATAATGCACACCGCACACAGTATTCGGTGAAAAACCCTCCCTGAGTAATCGAGGAATAGATGTTAGCGAGTGATCTACCCGAAAAGCCAAGGTGTGTCTCGCCACCAGTCAGATCCTGCAGCCCACCTGATACGTAACTGTCCTTCAAGCATCTGCCTGATCCCGAAACAGGCAAAGCAGGCACAAGTGCTTGTCCAGAAAAGATGGGCAAGAGTTAGGAGGGTGATTCTGCAGAACTGGACTGTGGCTCTGGAGAGGCTGCCGGTCACAGAAGTCGTTCCTACTTTTAGCCACATGAGACGAGAAGACGTGTCACGTTTTCCCGTTACTGCATGCAGAGGACTCGGTAATAGCTTGGACTGCCCAATAGTGTACTAACGTTAAAAGCCAGACGTCCATGACAAAAACTGCACGCATGAAAGCTGTTCCCCTGTAGAAAGTTGCAGAAATTCTTAATCTGCAGAGCTTGCCTGCACTTAGGTTAAATTGTGTGCATGGGTATACACGTGAGCCACTTCTCAGAAACAGAGTTCAAAGCTTCTGCTAGATTCTCGGACAGGACTGTAAACTAAAAGAGATTACGAACCATTGTTCATTGTCTTCAAGACTGCGTTTCTTTATTCATCAGAATGAGGGACAGAAGAAAAGCGGAGAAAAATTTAATGTTTTGAATTAAAAAGAAATCAACTGATACCAGCTAATCACTGGATGTCTCCTCTCCTAAGACTTATAAATAACTGTCTGATATAGTTGCAGAGAAAGGGGTAAAATGTTGTGTGAAGGAGAAAGGTCAAAGTCTCCGCAAGACAGGTCAAGGGTGTCCTGTTGGAGAAGAACTGACAAAGATGGCTCTGCAGAATAGAGCAGGGATTTCATGGAATCTTAAGTATGAAAAAAATATTAAGTTAAGAGAACATTAAGGGCCCTAAGTGCTGAAATCCAAAAACCATGATTAATTTGCAACATGGCCATGGGAAAAGCACTCTATAGGCAATCGTACCAATAAATGAATAAATAAATAAAATAACTGATAGGAAACTAACGCATTTCTGAGGCTGGAACAAAGACAGAAAAGATAGAAATACTCACATCAAACTGTTTTTGAGTGAAAGGAATTCTGAACATATGAAGGTGGATGTAAGACTCAAAGGGGAGGAACAAGACCTTTAGGAAACTTTCAGGACGCCCAGGTCTCGGAAGGACTCTGTTCATACAGCGGACAGTAAATGGCACAGCACAGGAAGCTGTATGAGGCGCACTCAGAGGTTGGTTGGTTTGCTTGTTTGTGTTTGAGACTAGGTCTCACTATGGAGTTCAGGCTGGCATTGAACTCACTACATAGCCCAGGCTGGCCTTGAAATCATGGAGATCCTCCTGCCTCAGCCTCAGGCACCCAAGTGCTGGAATTACATGTGTGCCACACCACTCCTGGCACAGAGTTATTCTTAACTATTTCATAAATAAATTCTCTTCTCTCGGCCTATTTTTAACTTTCTTAATAAAAAGAAAGAAAGAGAGAGAGAGAAAAGAAAAGAGAACAGAACAGACTTTCATGACAAACACAGGCCCAGTTTTACAATTAGATAGTTCCAGTGCACCATTAGTACAACCAAAGTTCTAAGGTGCCTTCTGGGCAATGAACATTCCAGCAGGAATGTTCTCTCTGCATGTGTCATCTCACAGATGGACAATTACAACCAACCTAGAGGTGAGGAAACAGAGACTCAAAGAGGTGAAATAACTTGCCAGGATCTCAGAGTGGCAGGACTGAAATCTGACTCCAACGTTCTTTTGAAAGCATTTTATTTTCAGCTGCCTGCATCTTTCTAGGCACAGATATTTCATGTGACATTTATCTTTAAAACCTAATCATGTGCTATTTATATCAAAAGAAAAAGGGGGGGCTGAGAATAATACAGCAAGCACCAACTCTGGAATCACCTGAGTACAGTATTATTCTGGACACTCTAATGCCCTCAGCTGGCCTCCCCCATAAAATAAAAACCTCCCTGTTTCAAATTTCTAATTTTAATGCCCATTCATGTACAGGCATTCACAGAGCACATGTACAATATCCACAACAAAAACAAAAAAAAGTACACTTATTTTCACTGAAAGCTCTTTTAACTGCAAATACATATTCAATAGTAATAAGAGGAAAACTACAAAATATTTCAATACTTTTCAAGGTGGTATAAATAAGATGTACCCACAAACTCTAAGATATTTCTGATTCTTTCAGTCAACACAAATACAAGCCTAGAAATGAAATCTTTTCAGAACTATAAAGCCAAAATATAGTATCCCGCTTTAAAATGGGATACTTAAAAATACTAGTGAAATGAAAACATTGGTGATGATTATAATACTTTACTGATTATATGAATTCATAATGTTAATGCATATTTTTTCCTAAGAAAAGTACTTACTTGAATTGCAGGCTGCATGGTCATCTATATAAAGACAAAACTGCTATTCTGAAAAAGAAATAAAATATTAACAAGCAGACAATGAAGTTGTCCTACTCCCCAGTGCCCCAGATTACAAGATTTAGGAATGTGCTTTGCTCTTCTGTTTGACAGAGAACCTAGAACAGTCTCTTCAAGCTGGGATGGTTTGAGTATAAAAGAACTCCGTAGTGACTCCTTCCGTCCTACTTCCTAAAGGAGCTTCTCATTTGAAAGAGGAAAATCTTAAACCACTTTAATATATTGTTTCTGTCACTAGTATCAAAGTAATTCTTGAAATATCTGCAGCGAGATAAAATTAATAATGTAGCTTAGCTCACCTGACAGTCTCCCAGAATTCTATTTTCCTCTAATAAACATCATGTAAATATTATGTGACTATAAAATCGCAAAGCTGATACTGAAATTCAAGCATCTTTCATTTGATCTTCATAGAGGTAACGTAAGCTCATTTGGACTTTGTATAAATTCACAGGCTTAACCTTAAGCTTTTCATATCAGACAACAAGGTAATAAAGAAACTATCAATTTTGACTATAAAACAAAAATATCAATGCCTTCCTATAATAACTTTAAAAGACAAAAAAAAAAAAAACCTCAATGTTAGCTCCAAAGTACTACTATTAAATCCATAAGGAAAGAAAAACTTTGATTAAAAAAGTTAATGCAGTTCTTTCATGTATTTGTGAAAAGTTTAAAAACGCTAAGAATAATGTGGACTATACAAAACATAGGATTATTGATTGCTTATAGCAATGTAATAAATTAGTCTAATTTTGACTGTAAGCCACCATGAAAACATTCTAAGAAGAACTATCAAGCCATTCATAAGGCTAAAACGCTACCATTTCCAAGGCAAAGTTCTCTTCTCCTCTGAGTTCTATCAGACACGCCCCAGGCACTGCGCTAGCCACACATACCACGTTTCTTCAGGAACATTTCCCCCGCTGCCACAGCTGAACCTGAGCTGAACCTAAGTGGAGGGCCTAATAGTTCATCATATCTTCTTTCAGTAAAGCAAAAGACCACAGAACGTCCTTTTTGATGTCATTTTTCCTTCTCTCGGCCACAGCAAAAGGCCAAAGTACAAGCGAGCATTACTAACGAGCTTGTTATGCTTCCCACGGGCCAATTCAGTGGGGAATACATTTTCCTTTAGCATAAATAATCCTTTGTCCCCAACAAAGCTCCACAGTAAGAAGCTTCCGAGTCCATTTTTTAAAAATGCAGCAAAGAAGCTGCCCCTATGAAAATGGAGTTCCTCATCACCGGACAAGAGCTTTACCAGTTGGAACTGCCAGCCCAAGACAAAAGAGAGCCCAAATTACAAGGCATGTGCAAACTCGGAACAGTGACACATTCACAAACGCGCTGTCGCAACAATGCTCGGGAGTTGCACTTCTTACAGAAAATTCAACAAAATTAGTTTCAGGAAATAAATGAGGAATTTGTGAACAACACTCAGTTACTTGAACTTTAGCAAAAATCGTGTATGTGTTTTTTTTAATCATTGTTGTGTGACAGAAGACACTACTTTTAAAATGACAAAAATATAACCATTCGGATCATCTTTAAAGAGGAATCCTTTAAAGAATACTCAGACAAATTATAATGCAACCTCATATATTAGGTACAGCAACACATGTTTTTAGTGGAAAAACTTCTAGTCAAGGTACTCGTTAACCATCGATTACTCGGTGAAAATTCCTCATGTTCATGTACTGAGGATTAGTTCATTTCTTATATTTTCTAGTCATTCACCGTCTCTTTCCAAAGCATTTCTCAGGTATTTCAATAATCGCAAGAGTAACTTCCCGGTTATCTCAAGCCCCTGGTCTTCATCACAACCGCAACTCTTGCTTTTCACTCATTTTATTACTATTTTCTTCATTTCTGTCTTCCCTAATAGTCTCAGCCTCGATTTTTTCATATGAACCAATTATACGGAATCATTAACTCTTCATTGTTGGAGCTACACCTTAATCATCTTAATTGCGGCTCTCTTTCTTTGCACCTTAGTTTTGCTTTTGTCTTTCTCCCTCTTCGGTAACGTCAGCAACTCTTTGCCAAACGAAGGAGGGTTGGGGGAGAACCCCGAACTCAAGCTGCACTGTGACCCTGCTGAGACCTCTCCCAAGACAGCCCTGCGTGGATCAGAAGAGTGCTACACCCACCTGGGGGAGACGTCGGAACGAGGGCATCCACCCGGAACCCGGAACCCGGAACCCAGCCAGGATTCGGTGTCGCTGTATTAATGACAGCAGGAAACACAGCGATCGTGTACAGTGAGCCTCTTTTTTGTATAATTTGACTTAGACCACGGGACAAGCAACCACGTGTGGGGCTGAACCTTGGTCTCGCGGAGGGAGGCTCCGGAGCTCAGCGGAGTAGGGCCACGGCTCATTCCTGATTCAAGGAGTAGGGCCACGGCTCATTCCTGATTCAAGGAGTAGGGCCACGGCTCATTCCTGATTCAAGCCCGAGATCGATCAGGAAGAGTGGCAGAGGAGCGCAGCAGTAAACAAGTTTCTTCAGGAAAAACCTGACATTAGTTGCCCCGGGCTCAGCCATTCACCACTCAGCCTCCATGACCGGCAAGAATGTGATGGGAACGGAAGCCAGGACGGCAGTGACTGCCAAGGAGAGGGGACGCTGAGACTGGAGAGCAGAGGGGCTCCAGCAGCCGAAGCAGGAGTATTTCATGTCATGGTTAATGGTGAGGACATGGGTATTTTTACACCAGACTGTTGTCTGTATGTGCGTCGAGAAATATATTTATAATGCTTCATTTAGAGAAACAGTTTTAAAAAATAACCCTTCTGATTTATTCAGAAAAAAATTTTAAACTCTCGTCTTTAAGATTTTAAGTTAAGCTGGATGTGGTGATGCACATCTGTAATCCTAGCAGCCAGGAAGCTGAGGCAGGAGGATCCCCAAGAGTTTGAGGACAGCTCGGGCTACACAGTTAATCCAAAGCCAACCTGAATTACATAAGGAGACCCTGTCCCCCAAAAAACAAACAAAAAATGCATGACTTATATTTTCCATTTGCCTAAGAGAGAAAACAGAAATGCTATATCCATACCAAACATGTTTCATATATTTTAAAATGTAAACTAATATAACTTACCATAGAAACAACACTGAGGTGGTTGAAAGTATCAGACACATCTGGTTTGAACTGCAGCCCCAGCGTATACTAGTTAAGGACCTTGAGGTAGTTGACTTCTCAGAGCCTTAGTATTCCCATCTGAAGAATGGGATGTTACCACCTCTCTCGTATGGCTGCTGTAAAAATTGGAGGTGATACAGATAAAGTACCTGACATATAACTAACACTTAATAATGAGTTCTTATAATTCTATGACAAGCCATAATTATAGTTCCTTTAATGTAACTTATCAAATTAAAAATACTCAGACATCATTGCATATAATTTACTGACCTCCTTTTATTAACACAAAAATAAATACAGCTATCAGTGAAGGTAAAAAAGTTTTAAAATACCTACATCAGAATCAGAACTCAGAACTTGTACTTAAGATTCTCTTTGCCAGAATGAGTCTTTGGGAATTTATTTCTAACCCTTCAGCCTTATGTCTGGGCACTGCCCAGGCTGTGCCCGTTTTCATGTGGCAAACCCTCATTCAGCAGCCTTTATTCATGCTCTCCCCTGAACCCAACACCATAGGGGAGAGACAGCGTCCAACAGAACAGCCATGCCATTGCCCTGTGGAACTCACACAGCAACTGGGAAGGCTGAAAACAGCAGACACACAAACGAATGCCTCATGTTAACGCTGCAGCTGCTTTGAAGGAAAGAACAGAGTCTCGAAGAGAGAAAAACAGCAGGTGCCTCCTTTAGACTTAAAGTGAAAGAAAGTATTTGCTGGAGGAAAAGCATGAATTTGAAGAGCGGTAGGAATCAACCAGGGAAAGAAGAGGCCTGTGCCTTTTTGCAAAGGTTCTGGACAGAGAAAGCATAGGAAGGAGTCACTAGCAGGCCAGTATCAGATGGAAGACATTTGGATATTGCCATTTATTATTAATATGTCCTCATCATTATTCACATGCCCTGGATCGATACGTGATTTCTCCTCTTCCTCAATGTGTCCAAAGTAAAATATGTGCAATGACCACTGGTCAAGGTACTAGCAAGTCAAACAAGCAGCCTCGTACACCAGAGGGCCCGCTAAGAAAAGGTGAGTACACTTCTGGTGTGTGGGCAGGAGTTCCAAGGGAACAGCTGACCACTGGCAATATCTGGCAGTGATTCCATCTGAAGAATTTAACTCTGTATTAAATAGAATTTTGTAGGACACAAAAAAATTGAAAATAAATTTAAAATCAGAAAACAAACAGTTTATGCTAACTTAAAGAAAAGTAAGAACAATACTTAATATTCACTAAGGGAAAACTGCTCAAAAGGCACATCGGACACACACACTGGACTCAGCCACTTGAGAGACAGAGCCATGCCCCCCACCTGAAAAGAGGGCTCTTTTGGTCCGTGGACCAAAGCAGCCTATAGAGCAATGGGTGTCATGTTACCAAGATCACAGTGTCTCTAAACTATGTGTGTGGATGAAAATGAAGAGATTTTGAACATAGATATTTTGTCGAACCATCTACTTTACTTTTAGAATCAAAATTACAAACAAGTCGGGGTAAGGGTGTAGTCCCAGAGTAGAGTACATCTCTAGCATGTGTGAAGTCTCAGATTCAATCCCCTGCACTGCAAAAACTAGATGGGCGTGGGTGTGATCAGACGTGTGTGTGCGTGCACGGGTGTGTGTAAACAAGTCACATACGAAGGGGAAATAAAGGACATTACGTTTCACACTTCACATAAAGCCAGTCCTTCCCCATAGGTAGTGTTGTGCTGCCTAATGCTGTGTGACAGGAGTCCAGGAGTCACACTCAGTCAGCACGTCGGCGGCACCCAGCACGTGACTGATGCCTTCATACCACAAATTCCTGCTGTCAGCAGCAAAGCACATTTCAGCTCTCTGGAAAGTTATGATTCGTTTATGAAATGTACAGCAACTTTCTATGAAGCAATGTACTCTATTCTGTAACAATGTAATAAGCTGAGAAAAGCATTCTGAGTTTTTTTAGGAGAAACACTAAGAAAATATAATTATAATCATTGTCTGTATACTCTGATCATTACTTCACCATAACAATTAAATCCTAATTAAACATAAAGAAACTAAATTTGAGGAAAAACTGGCTTACAAGCTCAACCTCCCTACTCTCTCCAACCACTATTCAGCACACTTAGGTGTGTAAAGGCATATTTAATCAAAGCATGGAAACCAATAAACAATAAGTAACATACATGTATACATTACTGTAAGGAAAATATATTGCATATATTAACTTTATTCATCAATAGTCAGCTTGAAAAAAATTACTGAAAAGTTTCCCCTTATCTTCTAACATATTGAGATATTAAAAAGTAGCCTTTTAGCAAAAACAGTGAATAAACAAAAACTAAGTGGGAAACTTGAAATTAGGGAATATTACTTCTTCTTTTTTTTTTTTTTTTTTTTTTTTTTTTTTTATCTCACTATGTAGTTGAGACTGACCTGGAACTCACTGTGTAGCCCAGGCTGGTCTCGAACTCATAGCCATCCTCCTGCCTCAGCCTCCCGAGTGTTGGGATTACAGGCGTGCACCCCAGCTGATTTCCAAATATTGAACTCATTTAGTTTTTTACTAACAGCATGCATGGTGTTAACATTAATCTCTCACCACAAGTTATGTCTCATTACTTTCTTAGTTAATGAAGTATCTATAATAAGCCCTCTCCCTCAGCAGAAATGAATTGGACCATACAAACAGCTTAAACCAGGGAAGCTGTCTAATGTTAGAAACATAAAGCAAAAGTAGTGATACAGAAAAGAACCTGAATGCTGCTTGGAGTGAGGTAATCAGCACTGAATTCTGAGTGGACCTTAGGAAGTTCTTTCCTTTCTCAGAGTTTTACTCTCCACAACTGTAAAATGGGGGTAAGACCAACTAGAGTGCAAGACTACTAAACATAATACAAAGTAAAATAATGCAAGTAAAGTGCCTAGAATACCATGCCTGGCACATTCTAGATACTAATGCCTAATAAATAGCAACACGAATCCTTATTATGTTCCATATATGATTTTTTTGTGTACCGGGGATTAGAACTCAGGACTTCCCACTTGGGAGGCAAGGCAGGCGTGGTGCCACTGAGCTAAATTCCCTGCTCTCCCATATGACCCTAAATTTACACGAATTAATCAGTGAATAATAACCATCACTACCTCCACAGCCTTCACCTTCTGCTTCTCCCTATTTTTGTGGGCAGCTTTTAACCCAAAGTTAAATGACACACATAGCAATAGCTATGTGTCAGGTACTGCGCTAAACTAATTATATGGATTTATTTCCTTTAATCCTCACAATGTCCGTACATCAATAGAGTAAGAACTATGATTAACCTCCTTTTACAGATTAGGAAATTTAGGCCCAGAAAGATCAAATCATCTGCCCAAGGTCACACGCCTGTTATAAAATCAGATGTCAGATCCGACGTGCTTAGCAACTTTTTTTAGTATTTCGCAAAAGAAATACTACTTTTAATTCAATAATTTTGAAGTAGCAGATTCCTACTGTCCAACTCCCCGCTGGCTTTAATGAGTTTTGGCAAAACGATCTCCATACAGTGCACCACAGCTGCCTCCACAGCGAATGGAAGGTTCTGTAAGTCCCAGGCCCAATCACCTGCCTGTCAGGGGAGGCAACCGGCCGCTGACAAAGCTGCTAGTCTTCGAAGCGAGTGGTTGGTTATTAACACTCAGTTAGTAACGCTCCCGCAGAGCAGCACCCAGGCTCCGACCCAGCCCGGCCTTGCAAAGAGCCATCTCCTGGCTCCCTGCTTCTCAGCATCTTCCTGGGACTCCCAGGGAGGCCGCAGACCTACCCCAGGATCACGGCCCAGCTGCGAGGGCTCCGGCGCAGTCCCCAGTGCCGTCCGGCGGGAGGTCTGAGCCCGGGAAGGACCCGGCCAGGGCAAACCGGGAAGGGAGCGCCGCCTAACACAACTGTGCCAACTCTTCTTTCCAGGGCGACCGTGAGGATCCAAGTGGTCGCTGTGCTAGGCGCCGGGGACGGAGTGCCCGGGGCGGACTCGATCCCTCCTCGGACTCCGGCTCCACACCTCTGCCGCCCCGCACACCTGTCGGCTGCTCACCGCAAGGGCTGTGGCAGAAGGCGATCACCGCTTCACCGAGACAGCGCCAGCAGCCAATCAGACCACGAGCCTCCCGCAGCCAGCCAATCGCAGAGCCCCTCGGATCCTGCAGCTCTGAATCCCACCCGAACCCCCACTTCGGCGCCACAGACCCCAAGGGTTTTCTGAGGCCTCTGTCTGAGTCGCCGGAGACCCGAGAAGGCGAGAAGTTGGTGAGGTAAAGAAGGCCATCGGGGACGTACTCACCAGCCCGGGCGCCGGACGGCCACTTCTCCCCGGGTCTGTGCCGCCGACCCGCCCCCACCAACCGCCGCCTCCTGGGTCTCAGGGTTCGCAGCGGAGCGCCGCCGCCTCTTTCGAAGGGACCAATCAGCGCACGGGGGCGAGACCTTGGGCCCCGCCTCCGAGCCCCAGAGAGCACGGGACACGCGCGCGCGCGCGACTGAGTCAGCGGGTGTCTCGCCAGCTGGGTGCCTGGTCCTCCTTTCCTTTCCTTTTTCTTTTTCAGCACTGAGGATCGAACCCACGGCCTTCGCACTGAGCTACATCCTCATACTGACCCATCTTTTGAGATAGGGCCTCTAAATTGCCCAGGCTGGGAGTGCACTTTCGATCCCCCTGCCTCAGCCTCCCGAGTGCTGGGATTACCGGCGCGCGCCACCACGCCCGGCTCCATCCCCTCTTTTCCCAGAAAGACAGTGGCTCAGGGAGTGCTCTCCCTGGATCCTTAGGCGACAAAGACAACCCCTCCTATTTGTCCAGCTGGGCAGGAAAAGCTGAAGGATTCTGGCTCTGGGCGTTTCTTCCTCCCCCACTGGGAGATGGCAGATAGGGCTTGAAAGGACTTTCCTTAGTTTTGTTTCCATCTCTCAAGTGCGGCTCTCCGACCTAAAGCCGCTCAAGGCCTCATGGCCCCAGGGTTTCCAGAGACAGGAACTAACCCTGCAGGGCCGGCGTCCTACGCAGAAATCTTCCAGCGGAGCCCCTTCCTGGAACCTAAACTCCTGGAAGCTGAAGGAGGATTCTGGCTCTTCCTTGGGAAACCCCAGAGGCGAGGGCGGAAAAGTTAATCGACCTCGACTAATCGCTGTTAACTCTGTGAGCGCTGAAAGACAAAAAAAAAAAAAAAAAAAAAAAAAAAAAAAAAAAAAAAAAAAAAAAGGAAGAAAAAGCAGAGTGACTCTCAGTGCAACCTCTCAGTGCAACAATGTAACAATGTGTGGTTACACTGCAACGCTAGATCTGCACTGGTCTTCGCGTGGCTTGTTCCCGTGAGAAAAAGTGCTGCCTAAAAGCCAGGTCTGTGCTGTCCTCCAGGCCCCCACCGTCCGGAATGTTCTGTTACCTTGGTCAAATCAAGTCACTTCTCCTGTCCCCAGGTCTCCTTCCCCAAAGCGTGGGCACTGAGCTGAAATCAGGGTCTCCCGGTTAGCATCTATTGTTTCCTTCTCTCGACAAAAACAAGGAGCCACAGTGTTGCTCCCTGAAGAGAATAAAATGAAGAAAAACCGCTCAGCCTCGTGGTAACGCTAAACGGGTCTGTGCAGGACTGAGCACAAACGTCTTGGGAGCGAGCGATGGTCAAACGCCAGGTTCAGGAGATGCCGGGCCGAAGCTTTCCAGAATAGTAGTTTTGAATAAGTAAAATGTGGGGCTGGAGAGGCAGATCCGTCTGGCGATGTGGGCTTTAATGATAGGCCTGGCAGGTGCTGAGGAAGGTAGATTCTCTCCGGCAGACAAGTAGGATGATTATAAGGCGGAAATGGCATGAATGCATTTGTGGTTTATTTGGGGGGGGGATCGTTTTCCAAATTTTTTGAAGGGAAATAAGACAGGTAGCAATTTCAAGAGTTTAAAGATGACAATTACCTGAAAACCCTCAGAAGGCCTAGTAAGGAAGATGTACCTACAGATGCCTAAGAAGATGGCTTATCTGGCCTGGGTTCTAAGGAATACAGGGGAACAAGCTGGTGGAGGGGTGCACTTTGGTTTACTTTGAAGACTGAAGGAAACGTGTAAGTAGAGATGTTCAGAAGAGAGTCGGAAAGTCAGGTCTAAAACTGTTTAAAGTGGTCTAGACAGAAGGTAGGGGTTTGAGAAATCAGTTCAACAAATTTTGCTGAATGTTGACTTCTGTGTCGAGCTCTGTCCTAAGCACCAGGGACCCCTGAGACTGAGTGGTAGAAGATTGTCCCTAGGAGTTGAAGTACCAGAGGTAACTGAACCAGAAGCGGGATGGTACTTACAACTTCTGGTTTTTACTGAAGCCCCAGGTCTCTTTATGGCCTGTGGCCTATGACTACAATAGATACATATTCACAGGGCCTGTTCATATCGAACTATTTCTATTTAAAACTAAAGGACGGTTCAGATTCTACCTCATAAAGACAAATTTTTAGTTGAGTCGAGACTTGAACTTAATTTTTTGAACCCTAACATCAATATATATACCCTAGCTGGGTATGGTGGCACACGCCTGTAATCCCAGCACTTGGGAGGCTGAGGCAGGAGGATTTCTGTGAGTTTCAGACCAGCCTGGGCTACATAGTGAGTTCCAGGTGAGTCTCAACTACATAGTGAGACCTGTCTCAAAACAAAACAAAACAAAACAAAAACAAAAACAAAAAAATATATACATAGATATATATAGATATATATCTATATATAGATATATCTATATATCTATATATAGATATATATCCTGCTCTCTAGGACCCCACAAAGAGTCAAACTGTGTCACACAGATCTTGTGGATGCGCCACTGGCAGTCAGTGATTCAGGTTTTTTACATGTATACTTATGCCTAAATACTTGAATACCATTTTTAAAATTGAAACCACGCTATACGAGGTATATATACAAACACACAAATGCACACACACTTAATATTTTAAACCACTGACTGAAACCTGTCCATGAGGGTATCTCTGAGGTCATTCTCTTTTTGCCCTCATTGTTTATTTCATCATTAAAATGTAGGCTATTCCAGGCATGGTGGTACATGTCTGTAATTCCAGCTTTCTTCTGGGAGGCTTACACAGAAGCATCACAAGATCGAGCCCAGCCTGGGCAACGTAGCAAGACACTCTCAAATTTTAAATAAATAAACAAATAAGTACAATTTGAGGGCTGAGGGAAAAACTCATATCCTGGCTTCAGTTCCAGGTACCACAAAAATAAATCAATATTCAAACAAATGAATGTCCGGGACAGGATGGCGTAGAATCAGGAAATTTGGCAAATTGCTCTGCTTTTGGCCCATCTTCTCCACTGGTTAAATGAATGATTGAGCTCCCTGCTAGCTTCCTTGAGTCTTGTTGATATCTATTTTATTCTACATTACATAAAGCTCTCTTGTGTGTTCTCACCCTTCTTTTATGTAACTTCTCTGTGCTCTGCCTTTCGCTAAAGCACCATGACCATCTCACCCACCTTGATTTTAACACTGCAATTACTAATTGAGGGTTGCCTCTAACAAGCTGCAGCGTACTTTCATGTGTATGCTTTCTAATTGGTGGCTGGGTTGATAGGTATGCTGTAGAGTGTCTCTCTTTGGTTGAAATTGGCATCGCTGTGACAAGCAAAGCAAGACTCGCCAGTTTGCAAAATCTCTTAATTCTGACTTCCCACTTGCAAAGACCCACCCCCTTTAAGAGAGCACCAGGTTCAGAAGCCTGACCTTTAAAAGTTCATATTAGGAAGAAATCATCCACCTAGTTAAAAAGCTCTCTAAAACACTGAAGGGTCTCTCAAAATCATTTAGCCTTGGGAGATTGAAACATTGAAATTTGAGTATTGATTTAGCCTTTCCACAGCACTGCAAGACACTTCGGTTTCTCAAAACACACTGTAGTTATTTATTGATTTTTTTTGTTTTGTTTTGCTTTTGATTGCTTTCTTAGATCTTTTGCTGTACATTTTGTTGTTGCTGTTCTTCTGGTTTGGTAAATGTTTCTAATGCTTTGACATTATTGACTGTCGGTCTGTGGATTGTGCCTTATGTGAAAGTACCGGGTAAAATCTCTGGATAACAGAGACCTCGGCTCATTCACAGTTAAACGAAACTATTGAAAACCAATCACACTAAAAACTATCAGGGTCCCTGCGATGGGCTCCAATCTCCTGCTCAGTGCTACAGTGCAAAGTGAGAAGAAAAACTCAAAGGCAGTATTAAAGAGAAAAATGGGGAGCCACGATGACCCGAGTGAGTTTCAAAAGACCGTGGCCAGTCAAAGGCATTGATAATTATTGGTGACACCATAGTTTGGTTAGGCTGAGAGGGCTCTGTGCAGCCGCTAGGGTTACATTGCTGATGCAGGTCAGGCTTGCAGGAGAAGCGACAAAGCATTCTTAACCTTGGGAACAGAATTTGGGTGTGAGTCACTCTGACCTTGGTTGCCATATGCTGTGAAACCTCGTAGGCTTTGGTCAGACTCAGTTCTCAAAACAAGCCAGTTGTGGGGTTAACTCTGTACAGCTGGCGCTGCCTACAGCCTGCTTTGATCAGTAGGGCGGTCCTCCACAAAAGACAACACTAAACGCAAAGGACTGCTGCTGATTGGTGTAAACAAACATTATAAGTAATTCAACAATGTGAAATGGCAATGGTCGGGGTTAATACTAAAATGCTGTGCTGTACCTGTGTGATGGGTGAGTGTCCTCCCCGAAGCCACGCCCACCCGCAGCCTCAGAATATGATGTTATCTGGAAATAGGTCCTGCAGGTATAACTAAGCTAAGGATAGAGAGACCATATCGGATCACAGTGGTTCCAAATCCAGTGAAAGTTCCCTATAAAAGAGAAAAGGCTGGGCACAGTGGCCCACACCTGTAACCCTGACATTTGGAAGGCTGAGGCAGAAGGATCACAGAACATTTGAGAGATTTAGAGAAACCCTGGGTCAAAACATAAATAAATGGGGACAGGGATTTAGCTCAGTGGTGTGCTGCCTGCCTCACAAGTTCAAGGTCCTGAGTTCGATCCCTGGTACCAGAAAACAATTTTAAATCCTTATAAATAAATGAATAAATAAGTTAGTAAACAAGTAGGGTTGTAGTTCAGTGTGAAAGCCCTGGCTTCAATCCTCAGCACCGCAAGAGACCCCACGGTATGTGTGTACACACCCATGCACACGCACGGAGAAAGAGGGAAAGACCGCGTGAAGACAGACAAACGTTAGAGCTGTGCAGCCGTCAACCAAAGACTGCTCGGAAGCTGGAGGAGGTCAGGGAGAGTCTTCTCTGGAGCCTTGGGAGGGAGCTCGGCCCTCGTGACACCTTGGCTGTATTTTGCTGGCTTCCGGAGCTGCACTGGGAGGGTGCGTGGGCTTTCACACTGCCGAGCCTGCGACAGGACCAGAGCCACGGGGAACTGCGGTCAGTTTCCGGAGAGTCCTAAATGTCTGACAGCACAGCCTGAAGACACTCTCTTCCCTCGGCTTCCTGGATGAGATGTGGTCTCACATCCGAACACTGGGCTGGCGCCCTGCTCCCGCACGAACTGTTACCGATCATCGGTACATCTGCGTATCAAGTTTC